CAGCCAGGCTGGCTGGGGAATTCTGGGAGTTGAAGTCCACACATCTTCAAGCGGCCGAGGTGGAGAAACATTGCTTTACACTATCCAGTCCCACCTGAGCCCACTGGCTTGCTCTGTGCAAGCTAAACCTTAATCCCAGATTTGCAAAACACAAGCCTGCATTTGTGTAATATCTGGCACTCTGGACTATAGTCTAGCCTACGGTACGAAGTCATGGGAGCAATACCTGGATGTCCTGCCTGGGAGAGATCCGAGCTCTGCCTAAGATCAGAGGCCGTCGTTCTTGCCTGAAAAACAGATGACCCTAAATGCAACTCCGCTCGGAGCGAGCAAAAATTCAGGCCTAATTTTAATTTTTTTTGAAGCTTTGATTATGCCTCCGAGTGTGTGCCCACACCCTTCTTAACCAAAACAAGTCCCAGCTTAGCTCAAAATGGGGTGTCAAATGGGATCTAAGGAAGATCTTAGCTTCTTTTATTGCTGCGCATAATGAAAAGAACCTCTGGGCATACATGAAGTGTTTGCTCGTGGACACGCTGGTTAGCCACGGACCTCGTTCCCATCTCCTGCTAAGTGGTAACATGGTTGGTTTGATTTCCATTTATTTTTAGCTTATTATGTTGTCCGTACTCAGCCAATCGTGGTGTGTTCAACTAATCATGGTTCAGTAAACCACAGTTTAACATAATGCAGTTCTCATCCAGATGTGATATGGACAATACGTGTGTAAAAAGTGAAGGTAGACTTCAGCATCCTTGTACTTAATTTGCTGTTTCTTTGTGTTGGCCAGCAAGGTTTGATGCAGATTTCAGATGGGGCTTAGCAACAGGAAGTCCCCTCTTATTTTTTCAAACAAAGAGTGTCTCTGACCACGTGCAAAGTGTTTTTCTCCTATCTGGCCAACCCAGCTTCCAGCTCACCTGAGAAGCAGGGGGCTGTGGAATGGATTCCCTAGGCTCAAAGTCCTTCCCTCCCCGGTTCCACCCCACACAATAGGGTGTTGCCTCATTAGCTAGTTGGGTCAGGCGCTTTCTGGATCTCACTCCAAGAACATTT